AGGTGCAGGGAAGCCAGAGGAAGCTCACAGAGAGAGGGGGAGGGAATCGGAAGACGTCTGGTGGGAACTAAAGCATTGGTGGGCTGCAGGGAACAAACCGGCTTGCAGGTGTGTCCCTGGCCAAACTCAGAAATAGAACCACCTGATAAAAAGGTATTATCAGAGCTGGGAGCGGGTGGGAGCAGGGACTGCAGGGAAACGGGCTCCAGGGAAAAACTGCCTGTGTGCTTTGGGTGGCCCTCCCTGCCCCTCCTGTGAGCAAGAGCCCTCAGAACCAGGGGAGCCCCGACGTCCACATGCATGCTTCCTCTCAAGGCAACAGGTTACAGAAGCGCCTTCTCGAATGATGACATAGGCAGCAAATAGGAAAAGCTACTCAACTGAAATCGTGATTTCTCAGCTCCAGTGGGTGCTGCCTTCTTGGATGGAGCCCTGCAGCTGCTTGCCACCCCCCCACCGGGAGTTTGGGGGCCAAAGGAGAAATCTGGTTCCTCTTTTGCTTCATGTGGCCCCTCCCCTCTGCCAAGGGCAGGCCTCCAAAATTCACATGGTATTCTCTCTGTGTGTTTGTGTCCAAATTCCCCCCTTTTATTTTTTTTTAATGTTTAAAAAAGATTTTATTTATTTGACAGCGAGAGAGCACAAGTAAGGGGAGTGGGAGAGGGAGAAGCAGACTCCCCGACGTGGGGCTCAATCCCAGGACCCTGGGATCATGACCTGAGCTGAAGACAGACACTTAACTGACTGAGCCACCCAGGTGCCCCCAAATTCCCCCCTTTTAATAAGGATGACGATCATATAGGATTAATGGCCCCCTTATTCTAGAGTGATCTTATCTTAGCAAATCACATCTGTAATGACTACATTCTGAGGTACTGGGAGTTAGAGCTTCAACATATAAATTTTGTAAGGATGACAATTTGACCCATAATAATAATTATGGATACTTGCTTAATGCCAAGTGCTGTGAATTACTATATAATTCTCATGATAAGACCTGTTGAGGTATAGATTTGTATTATCTCCACTTTCCCTTAGGGAAAACAGGAGCTCAGAAAGGTTGAATAACCGGCCTGAGGTCACCCAGCTAGTGAGCTGAGGGCCACGAGACCACAGAGTCCAAACACCCCACCACCCTGCTTTGTTGCCTGGACCCACTTTCTCATCCGACAAGTGCCAGATCCGGGGTCTTAAGATGAAGCTATGAACTCTAAAGGTTTTGATTCTGGGTTTGTTTTGGAAGCAGAGCAGGTGGTGGAAACTAGCAGGGTTTTTTTTTTTTAACTTCAACGCTATGGCCAAGTCCATTCCTGACAACCACACAAACTTACTGTGAAGAATAAGGAGCAAGAAGGACTTACGTGAATTCCGTTTCCCCTGACTTGAAAAAGCAGTCTCTCCACTTCTCGAAGGAATGAGGCCCATTCCACGAGCTGCTGCTGACCCAGGTCAGGCTCGTGGGGCCCTGGTGACACTCGGCGAAAGTTCACTCGGAGACTTAATGCCGCGCCGAGAAAGTCAGTTTGGAAAAACAGCTGTTTCTGCAAGATGCAGCTATTTACAGCTACCCAAGCCGATGAGCAATGCCGGGAGCCAAAGTTAATTGCCAATCAAACTAACAAAAATGTCTTTCCCAAGTTTATTAGGTCCCAATGCCATTTTAACAGACTGTCAAAATCTCAGGAAGAAGAAAACAAATTGGGAAGTCCTTTTCGATAGGCGGCTGCCTCACAGCGTGGGATGAAACAGTGTCCATATCTTTGGAAGCAAGGGAATAAAAACTTTGGAAAGGCCATGGGATTTACTGTGTACTGACGGTCAGCTTTGCTGCAGCGGGACTTCCTGCGCTTTGAGGTTTGCTTCCACAACAGTTCTGGAAGGCGCTGGATTTGTCTCCTGGGGCTGCGTCACCACAAACATAGTGGTTGAAAGAAACACAATCTCCTACAGCTCTGAGGACAGAAGTCTAAAACACGTCTCGGGGGCAAAAATCACAGCGGTTGGCAGGGCTGTGTTCCTTCTGGGGGCTCCAGGCAAGAATCTGTTCCTAGCCTGTCCAGCTTCCGGAGGCCACCTGCTTGCCTCGTGGCTCCTTCCTCCACCAAAGCCAGCAACTGCCACTCCAACCTCTGCTTTTGTCCCCGCATCTCCTTCTCTGACTCTGACCCCTGCCTCTCTCTTTCACTTTGAAGGACCCTAGTGATGACACCGGGCCACCTGGTTAATCCAGGATAACCTCCCTATCTCCAGATCCTTAACGTCTTCCCACCTGCAAAGCCTCTTTTGCTGTGTAAGGTGACATACTCGTGCTTCCAAGAATCAGGACGGGGACACTGGGGGACCAGGATTCTGCTTGCCACAGGTAGGCCCGGTTATGTCCATTTTAAAGATGACAAATAAATTCAGGGATGTTGGGCAATTTTCACCAGGCCACTCAGCTAGTAGATGGGTGGTTAGGATTTGAATTCAAAGCTGCCGGCCCCACAGCCTCAGCTCTTTCTCCCCCGAACACGTTGTTCCATCTCAGACTCCCAGCCTCATGCTGGAGTTAATCTCGAGGTACTCCGGGGATGAGGGTGAAGGCCACCATGTTAAGAACTACTCCCAGTGGACTATTCTGCATCTCCAGTTCCTTTAGATGAAACACTGGGAGGGCTGCAGATGACGGGGGCCGTGTGCACGGGACCAGTGGACAGGCTCCCCAGCGCACTGCCCTTGGCTTCACCTGGCTAACGCCTGCTGGACCTTCAGTGCTCGCCTTCCTGGGCCCTCTTCCAGGAAGCCCTCCCAGGAGAGTTCATCCCAGGGTTGCACGTGGTATGTGTCTGTTTCTGGATCTTTCTCTCTAGAACACGACAACTTCACTGGTGACCTCCAGACACAAGCAGGATATGGGTGTGGAATGAATGCAGGCATGAATGAATGACGCCTCCATGAGAGCTACGAAGCCGCCGCCCCCCACAGTGGGCCCACACACGGCAGTCCCTGCTTCTCTGGAACACATGTTCCAGGTGACTGTGGTCCATCGTGCTCCACACTTGAAGGCAGCAGCAGGTCGACTCCCCGTCTGAGTTTACAAAGGTCCTCTCTATGGGCAAGGGCAGTGCCCTTTTATTTACTTATTTATTTGAGCGAGAGGGTGTGCATGAGCTGGGGGGGAGGGGCAGAGGGCGAGCACCTCAGGCCGAGTCCCTGCTGAGCGTGGAGCCCCAGGTGTGGCTCAATCCCAGGACCCCGAGATCATGACCTGAGCTGAAATCAAGAGTCTGATGCTCAACTGACCGAGCCACCCAGGCAAGGGGCAGTGTCCTTATTACTGAAATGGGGAAACTGAGGCAGAGAGCCGTTGAATAATTTCCCCAGGGTCACGCAGCTCAAAAGGGACGGAGCAGGGATCAGAATCCAGGCTCTGCCATCCAGGCTCTGAGGGGACACACTCCAGAGCCCCGCCCCGCAGACAGCGGGGAGAGAACTGACCGTACAGCCAATTTCTGAAGAGCCGCAGAGCCTGCATGGCTGGTGTTCAGTCACAGGGGCAATGATCAGCATGCTCTTACACTTCAACAAAACATGTCTCAGACAAGAACGAAGGAAAGTAAGACGGAAAGCAAGTCTGGCACGGGGTCATGTGAACAAAAGCAGGGTGACTACTGCGCAAGAACAGAACACACCCGTGCACAGAAAAGCCAAGGGGAGATTTTGCCAAATGTATGTATGTTTGTAGATTTCTTCGGTTCTTCCTGCTTTTCTGAATTGTACACATGTACCCTAATGAGCTCATGATGATTCCTTACAACAACAAAATACTTTACCGACCCCCGACCCCCAAACAAACCCTGTTGTTTCACACCATTTCCATTCCAGACTGTGCATTTCCATGGATCAACGTAAGCATGCATAGCCTCATCAGGGGTGAAAACGAGAATTCTGTGAAACTCCCAGATTGTGAAATGGTGAGATATTTTCCTCTAACAAAAAGACCGTGAGTGAAAGGAGGAGATGCACGTCAGTCCTCAACACTTTCCCGACACCCATCTTTAGAAGCATCTTGTTAGAATGACCCATTAGGAGCAAGGAGCAAAATAAAGCATTCTGTCGAAAGCAAGTCAGAAATGGGACTGGAAGTCTCTGCATGTCTTTGCTGCATCAATCCTGTCAGCAGAAGTCAGCGCAAGGGAGGAAATAAATGAGCTCCTCCGTGAAGGTCTGAGAACCTCACTCTGATTCTACCCTCCTCTCTATCCTTTGGAAAGGAGCCCCGTTGTGGACGGTGTGCCTACAGTGTGAGGCAAGACCACACACCTACGAGTAGAAGAGAATCAGACATCTAAAAGGGGAAACTGAAGCTCAGAGAGGTTGAGAGCGTTGTCCAGCATCTCACAGCCAAGAAATTCCAGAGCCAGGATTCAAATCTAGTCTGGTCTGATGGCCCCAACCTGTGCAGTTTCTGTGAAATTCTGAAGTCTCCTAACTCCCTCCCTGCAGTATGTTTATTGTGCATCTCTGAGGTTGAGAAAGGAGGATGAACTCTGCGTCTTCCTTTGGACACTTCTGCTGACTATTAAAGTCACACTCTGTTACACTGATCGACTGGAATGTCCTTTCTCCTTTCCTTTGCCTGCAAACTCCTACATATTCGAGGTAGAAAGATGACAGCTAATGGTTTGGAAATATTTTAAAGTCATGGCAATGGACCTTAGGCTCACAGGGACACTGCTTTGGACCCCCAGGGAGAAATGGCCCTTTTTACTGGGTGCTCCATCATCTGTGACCAGGTGAGAGTTCAAAGAAGGGAGCAATATATTAAAAGAAAGACAATAGGTAGGAGAGCAAAATATAGATAATATTCTCCAGATAGGTGAAACATCTTAAAATTCCGACACCTTCGGAGCGACAAAGGACACGCTCCTTTAAAGGCAAGCACGTTTGCTCCCTGGGGGGTCCCATGGCACTGTTCACCCCACTATGATGTTCTCAGGAATAACCCTCAGTTTACTTACAGAGAAGATAGCGGCCAAAGTCTCGATGCCACCGGTGCTCAAGGTGATGTATGGGATCTTTTCTGGTGAGATCCCAGCTTTTTCAAAGATGCTATTGGTGTAGAACCAAATCTATAATGCAGGAAAGAAAAACAAGGGAGAGTCGGTGAAAGGCATCTATCTCCAAAATTAAATTCAGGTGCAAGGTGGTCTCTGAGATTTGCTGCTACATCCAGCATGGAGCTGTGTGGTGTGGCCAACTATTTGTTTTCTTCCTTCTCCCACCTTTGCCCCTTCCTCATTACTAACAGAACTACGGTACTGGGAGCAACACGTGCTGAGCTAATTGTGGCGATGAGATAGGAACAGAAATCTCCTTAAAATGAGCTTTCCACCAACGAGGTGTGATCCCATTTTTTGCCCTTCCTCCTTTCTGCTGTCAGGATGGTGAACATGATGGCTGGAGCTTCAGCAGCCCTCCTGGATCACTAGGTGACCTCAGGACAGCATGGTAGCGCCCATGGTAACTTTGTGAGAAACTGAAAAGGTTCCTGATCTACAAGACACTTTACTGTCATCCACTAGAAAACTGTTACAATAAATTTCTAATGGGGACAATGTGAATGATGCCCTGAGGGTTGTGCAACATACAAACTACACAACTACACACAGAGCCCCTGCTTTGGGATGGGAGCCACCTGTTCAGAAGCTAGAGCGAGAAGTTAGAAGGAGCCTGTGTCCTTGCTCACCAGAGTGATTCTATAATTGATTAACCAAACCTGGGCACCTTTGAGAGTGTTAATAATTCGTTCGGAACAAGAGGCATAAATCTGGATTGCCCTGGGCAAACCAGGATGTGTGGTCCTGGGACTGCTGTACCACCCTTCCCAATTTTCCTCGATGTGAAGTTAGGTCAGTGTGGAGGATTCTGCCACTTGAGACCAAACCTAACCCTAATGACACTCATGGGGCATCGGGCAATCACTGACTGGAGGTTGGAGACCTGGCTCCGTGTTGAACTGGCTGTGTGACAAGTAATTCACTCTGTCCTGCTGGGCTTCTTTCCCCTTCTCCAAGAGGATAGCCATGCCCCTCCTGTGGAGTGTCCAGATTGGGTAAGAATTGTCACTATTCACTATTTACTTAAAATTTCGGGTCCATAGGCTGGACACGAGCCATTTGTGTCCTCCCAATCCCGGCCATTTTCTTAAAGAGCACGAGTTTGTTAAATATAGAAAACCAAGCTGTCCTTTACATGACATCTGACGAGGAAACCCATCGCCTTCGGGGACCTTGGAAGCATTTACACCCTGATCGTTATTAAGCAGAAACATTAGAGCTCGTTGCTTATAACTTGTCAGGCCCGATGGTGGCTGGCCACGCTCCTTGCATTTGGCTCTTACTTCGTTTTTGGAAAAAGCTCTCATTTCTACAAATTTGTCTTGTTACCGGCATTTGTTTAGCAAAACATTTTTCATGCACTGGGGGAGAAGATATAATTTAGGAACTACACATATCTACAGATGGCTTATCTTTTAGTGAGGGGAGTATCTTCTTAAAGTTACAGGCACACTCAGAGGCCAGTAAAAACGACTGCATGTATTTCTGTGAGCTTGCTGGCATGGACGCATCTCTCGGCAAAATGCGTTTCAAGCTTCCCATAAAACAAAGACCCTCTTGCCGGTGTCTGCCCCACATTTGACTGAGCTGATAAATTAGAATTTTAGATCCTACCTTTGCTTCCACATTCACCAAGCATAGAAGTGGCTCCTGATAAATTCATTCTTAGGGCTGTGACAGAAGCTAAAATTGTTCCAGAAAACCCCAATCTTCACCAGATTTGTTTGTATAATCTCCTCCCCTTTGGAAAGTAACTGTGATCTTCAGAGTTGGATCAAAGGGGCTTAAACACCTTTCTTAATCTTTACCCAGATTCACTGATTTTTAATAGCCAAGGCTCTATGGGCCCCTTCCATCCCCCAGAATACTCTGCTGCCTCAGTCTGAACCCAGGGCTGCCAGCCCCTGGTTGATTCCACAGGGTACGTGCTCTCCTGTGGGAGCTGTGCGTGCCCTGGCCTCCCCCCATGGCCTCCTTCCTGCTCCTCACACCCCCTGCAACCTTCCCTGCTTCCAATTCTTCCTGAAACCCCTCAGGTGTTTCTAGGTTAGTGAAGAGGGTCGCACTGCATAAAATTACACCCTCATTGGGGGGGGTTGCTTATGAAAGTGGCTCTGGAGTCATTTCATAGTAAATGCATTTATCCCTCGAGAGGCAGAAATCAGCCCTTTGGACCATCTCCCCCATTCCAGGGCATGCGAGGAGGTCCTGCTGGGCTGTTCCCAGGAAGGGGGTGGGGAGGAGGCCTGCCCAACATACAAATTGCCTGTCTCCTTCTGCCGGCTCCAGAAGCCATTTCTCTCTGGCTGAGTCATCTTATAGAGCAGGTGGGTAATGGCCTCTGTCTCTATCCCACTGAGGTTTACGTGATCTGGCAGTTCGAGGGTGTTACACAGCATGGAAGCACCGGGAAAGGTGGGGTGTGTCCCGCAGCAAACCCTCCCCGAGGAGTGTGCTTTGTGTTGATCTCATCCATGACACCATCACGCTCTCAGGTTGCTGACAGTCTCCTCCCTCGGGGGCGGACAGTGGACTGGAAGGAGCCACAGTTTGGAGGTGTGAACACCGGATTCCAACCCTGGGCTGCCTCTGGGGAACTGTGGGTCTGTAGGCAAGGGACTACATGTCTCTAAAGAAGGTAAAAAAAATCTGTCTTTCAGGGTGGCTGTAAAAATGTTTAAAGTGACAAAGTAAAGCATCTTTAAAAGATTTTATTTATTTTAGAGAGCGAGCTCGTGTGCGAGAGTGGGGGGAGGGGCAGAGGGGGAGGGAGAGGGACAAGCAGACTCTGCACTGAGCGTGGAGCCCAACGTGGGGCCCGATCTCAAGACCTTGAGACCATGACATGAGTCAGGCGCTTAACCCAGTGAGCCACCCAGGTGCCCCAAGCATCTTTTATAGAATTGGTACATAACAAATGGGGGGGTATCATTCTAGAAGATTTCCATCTCTCTACTGAGACACCATGGCTCTTTGGTAAAGGAAAATGTCAGTTATGCACATGCCTTGGGGAGGAAGGCCTTCTGGGGCTGCTTCTCAGCCTGCTTCTTGACTGCCTGCCTCCGGGGCCCCAAAGCCCTCCTTCCTAACTCCTGACACAGTGTGTTAGAGACCTAGCATAACATGCATCATCATTTTCAACTCTCTCAACAGCTTGTGAAGGTGACATTGCCTTAGGATCAGAGAGACCACACACAGCCAGTAAGACCAGAGCCGGGTGCAGACCCAGGCCTGTTTGCTTCCGGCCCCACGGCTCTTCCACTGCTCGGGCTATGCTGGGGCTGTCCGTGCCCCTGGCTGACTGGAGATTCCTCTTCAATCCATCATTCCCCCCCCACCCCCGTAACCAGGAGGCTCCTCGCCGGTGAGAGACAGAACATTCGCACAAAAGTCTGGTTTTCATGCAAAGGACAAACTGCTCAGGAGGAAGGCAGTTGCAGAAAATAAGGAATTTTAAGTGACAGGTCTAATTTTAGAAGAGGGAATTTGAAAGCCATTGTGAGAAGGAGGGAAAAAACAACCCCACACTGAAAAGGAATTTAGAAACAACTAAATGTTAAATCCAACTTCCGCTTGATTTCTAAGGTATGCGGAAACTATTCATTGACTTCTTGGCGAAAATGCACTGGGCAATATGTAATGTTTGCTTAATGTGGTGATTGTCACCTGGGGGTAATTTTCCCCCCAGGGGACATTTGGCAACGTCTGAAGACATTTTTGGTTGTCACAACTGGTGGGGTAGCCTACTGTCATCTGGTGGGCTGAGGCCAGAGATGCTGTGGAATGTTCTATAGTACACAGGACAGCCCCCCATGACAAGGGATTTTCCGGCCCCAAATGTGCATAGTGCTGAGGCTGTGAATGTCTCGGTTAGTGCAGGCACCTGGGCCTTAGAGAAAGGCTGGCCAAGCCTGGGCAGGTGCTTGGCCCTCTGGAAACCTCATTTCTTCTTCTAGAAAATGAGGATGGCCCCATTTGCCCTGCAGGACATTTGGGGCTGGAATGAAGTGATCAATGGCGAGATTCCTAGCAGTATTTGCAATGTCTTCAACTACAGACCATGTCCCCCCAGATAATTTCTGAGACAATTAAGGGAAGAAAGCAAGTTTTAAAGGGCATTTGAAGTTTTCCATCTGGTAGACAGCATTCCTCCTTGTCTCATGCATTATTTGGACTGAGAGGCAAGAGGTGCAGGGGAGAACTGGACTGAAGCACAGGGCTCTGAGGCTGAGGTGGCTGCCAGCCAGTGTTTGTCCTTTTGTATGTAAAAGAGAGGGTGTCAGACTTGTCGCATTGGCTGCCTAGGGATGACCTTGGGACACAGCCCAGGGACACATATGGGGATGCTCGAAGGGGGCCTTAGGGACCCTCCCCGCTCAGGGCTCAAGCGGCCAGACCTTGTGGCCAAGTGGCTGGGGCTCAAATCCCCTTTCTACCACTTGTAGCTGTGTGACCTAGGGAAAGTCTCTCAACGTCTCTGTGCCCAACAGTGGTGTCTGACTCACAGGACAGACACGGGGACACCTTCTGGCTCACATTAGTGCTAAATGAAGGTTTGCTTTATTATTATTACAGCTGAGCAGACAGAGGCTGGGGGAGGGTAGTGATTGGCCTAGGCTTCCCACTGCAGGCCTGTGGTCACACTGAGACAGACAGCCAGGCCTCTGGATATGGGTCCAGAGCTTTTTGCTCCATGTCCAGTTAAGCATGCCAAGCGGGAAGTATTACTTCTGACTTAAAGATTAAAAATAATCCTAAACAAACAATAAATAGAAGGAGAATACCTGAACATAATAAAGGCCATACATGACAAGCCCAGAGCTAACATCATACTCAGCTAATATCATATCATAATATCATCATACTCATCAAACTGAAAGCTTTTCCTCTAACATCAGAAACAAGACAATGATGCCCACTCTCACCACTTCTAGTCAACATAGTACTGGAAGTCCTAGCCAGTGCAATTAGAGAAGAAAAAGAAAGAAAAGTCACCCAAAGCAGAAAGAAAGAAGTAAAATCATCACTGTTTGCAAATGACACGGTCTTAAATGTAGAAAACCCTGAAAATAGCACACACACACACACATTGTTAGAACTAATAAATTCGGTCAACTTGCAGGATACAGAATCAACATACAAAAATCAGTTGTGTTCTGGGCACCTGGGTGGTTCAGTCGTTAAGTGTCTACCTTCAGCTCAGGTCATGACCCCATGGGATCGAGCCCTGCATTGGGCTCCCTGCTCAGCGGGAAGCCTGCTTCTCCCTCTCCCACTCCCCCTGCTTGTGTTCCCTCTCTCGCTGTGTCTCTCTTTGTCTCTGTCAAATAAATGAAAAAATAAAAATCTTTAAAAAAATAAAGAAAAAAAATCAGTTGTGTTTTTATATACTAACAATGAACCATCTGAAAGGGAAATTACGAAAATAATTGTATTTACAATAGCATAAAAATTACTTGGGAATAAAGTTAACTAAGGAAACGAAAGACTTTTGCACTGAAAACTAAAAAGCACTAAGGAAATAAATTAAATACACAAATAAATGGAAAAATACTCCATTCATGGACTAGGAGATTTAATATTATTAAAATGGCCATACTACCCAAAATGATCTACAGATTCAATGCCATCCCTATTAAAATCCCAATGGCATATTTTCCAGAAATAGAAAAAAATCCTAAAATTCCCCTGGAACCATATCTTTAAAAAGAACAAAACTGAAGGCATCATATTTCCTCTTTTCAAAATATATTACAAAGCAACAGTAATTAAAACAGCGTGATACTGACATAAAGACAGACATATAAACTAAGGAAACAGAATAGAGATACCAGAAATAAACCCATATGTGGTCCACTGATTGCCGAAGGGTGCCAAGAATATGCAATGGGGAAAGGATAGTCTGGCAAATAGTGTTGGAAAAATTGGATACCCACATACAAAAGAATGAAAATGGATGCTAATCTTCACTCAAAATGGATTAAGATTTTAAACACAAGAACTGTAAAAATCCTAGAAGAAAACATAGGGGAAAAACTTTGTAACATTGGTCTTGGCAATGATTTTTTTTTTGGAGATGACACCAAAAGCAAAAATCAACAAGTGTGACTACATCAGACTAAAAAGTTTCTTCACAGTAAAAAAAAATAATCGACAGAGTGGAAAGGCAATCTACGGCATGGGAGAAAATATTGGCAAACCATATATCTGATAAGGGGTTAATCACCAAAATATATAAGGGACTCCTACATCTCAATAGCAAAACAAAATAAGATAAAACAACCCCCCCCAAAGCCTCCAAACAACTCCATTAAAAAATGGGCAAAGGACTTGAACAGACATTTCCCAAAGAAGACCTACAAATGGCCAACAAACACATGAAAAGACACTTGACATCACTCAGCATCAGAGAAACGCAAATCGAAACTACAGCAAGATATCACCTCACAGCTGTTAGGATGTCTATCATGAAAAAAAAAAGTGCTGGTGAGGATGTGGAAGAATTAGAACCCTTGCACACTGTCAGTGGGAATGCAAACTGGTGCAGCCGCTCTGGAAAATGGTATGGAGGTTCCTCAAAAAATCAGAACTGCAATATGAGTCAGCATCCCACTTCTGGGTTTTTATCCAGATCGAAATCAGGATCTCGAAGAGATATCTGCACACCCATGTTCAATGCAGCACAATTCACGGTAGCCAAGGTGTGGAAATATCCTAAACGTTTGTCAATGGACTAATGGATAAAGAAAATGTGGTATGTGTACACATGATGGAGTATTATCTGGCCTTGAAAAGGAGGGATATCCTGCAGCATGTGACCGCATGGATGAACCTGGTGGACACCATGCCGAGGGAAAAAGCTGATCGCCAATACTGTACGCTTGCACTTTCCTGAAGTATCTAAAGTAGCCAAACTCATAGAAGCAGGGAGCAGAGTGGTGGTTGCTAGGGGCTGTGGGAGGAGGAAATGGGGGGCTGCCAATCAACAGGTGCAAAGTTTCAGTGAAGCAAGATATATACGCTCTGCAGATGGGCTGTAGGACACTGTGTCTACAGTTCACAATCCGGCATTGCGCACCTGAACGTTTGTTAAGGAGGTAGATCTCACATTAAATGTGCTCACGACAATAGCAAAACAGATGAAAGGCAGTCACTATGAGGAGGGTGGGATACCTGGAAGCTGAGACCTCCCCAATCCCAGCCCTTGGAGCAGATGAGATGGTTTCTCCCCATCCCACGCTGATGCAGTGGGGTTTACAGATACACCCTAGTGGGATTTATATAGGAAGTTATATAGGGAATGCAAATTGGAAAATTATATCCTGGGAGAGGAGAGAATTCTGTTTAGAAATGTCATGGTTCTCAATCCAAATGCCTCATTAAATACAGATTCCATATGTGGCTTTTACTACTCTAAATGTTAGCTCTAAGAAATGGATCTGCCCCCTCTCTACCTTCTCAGAACAGGGAGGGAGGCTTTGAGCCTGGAGGTGCAAAGAGGAGGAAAGGGCAGCCCCTGTCCAAGGCCGTGCCCTTGGCCCAGGCCCCTCCTCCTCCTGCTGACTTTAACCAGACCAAGGAAAAAGGTAAAAACAGGTAAGTTGCAAGATGATTTCATTTCATCCCAATGTTTCCAAAAATAGAATCAAGAGTAGTTGAAATGCGGCAAAACATGATGGTTGGAACTTTCCATGCTGTCACCTTTCCCTCTCCGGACAGGGACGCCTCTGCTTCTATGTCATCTCCCCAAACACGCCCCAAGCCCCCTCCCTGCTGACTTTCAGGGGATGCCAGGCTCATGAATGCAGCAGAGCTGTTTTGTCTGGGGCTCTGTGGAAGGTCCCCTCTATCCTGTTGAAATCAGCCCAACCAAGAGTACTTTTATTTAAATCATCTTTCACTGACAACTTCCTAATACCCATTTTAGTAAGAAATCTGAGTTTTGGGGATCAGAAATTATAATGGTAGGCAGCATTTATTAAGGGGCAACTTTGTAGCTGCTGCATTGAACACTCTGCATGGATTATTTCTTTCAGTCAGCCCATTTTACAGATGAGGAAACTGAGAATGGATCAGACTGTGGGATTGCCTGATGGCGCAGAGCTGGGACCGGATCCTGGTACTGAGGCCCAAGCCCTGCCCCACCTTGCCCTCCCCTCCCTCTAGTTCCTCCCTTTGCGCAGGGATGCTCACCGCATTGAGACCGCAGAGCTGGTAGCAGGCCATGGTGACGACCACAGTGAAGACTTGCCAGCGCACGAGGGGACTCCGGAGCAGCTCCAGCACGGACACCAGCTGGACATTCCTCTGCACGCGGCTCTCCATCAGGACCTCCTCCACCTCTCGGGAGACATCCTCTTTGCCCAGGAAAGTCTGGAAGGCTGCAAACAGGGGCAATCACAGATTTTTAGCAGGGATCAGGATGTTTGCCGAGTCTGACACTGGGCTCTGCGGGGATAGTTCCACCACCCAGACCCACACATTGTCAGGGAGATAGCTGGCAGGGGCCTTTGAAACCATGAAATTCTACACCTTTGTTTGGATATAGGAAAACAGAGGCCCAGAGATGTGCGGTGATGTGCCCAAGGTCACCTGGTTGGCTAGGAGAAGAGCCAGGAGAGAACAGGAGTCTCCTGATTGCCCCCAGAGGGAAGAGGAGCACATCCAGGGTTCAAGTCCCATTGCGATCACAGCGCATCGGTCCATTGTTTGTAACCATTCCTGCCTCACATGGCTCTGTTAGTAATGGGATGATGTATACACACTAACCCCTAGCTCAGAGCTTCGCACACAGGAGGTGTTCTTTTGATAAATATTTATTCAGCGCCTCCCATCTGCCTGGCCCTGGGTGCTCATCCTTGTTGGAGGTATTCAGATGGTCAGACTGCCTGTCACTTGGCCAGGATGCTGGGAGTAGATTCTATCATCGGGAGGAGAACTGAACTAAATGCCCTCCAAGGCCCTTTCCATATGACCCTGGGGAACACAGGAACCTGGGTGGACATATTCTCAAAGAGCTAGTCTTCCCAGGATTCAAAATTACCCTTGTGACTTATGCCTTTTCCAGGCTGAACACTGCAAATTTCCAGGCTTAGGGAACCTGCCATTTGTTACCAAGCCCTTAATTGTGCAAACCTCCATGTATATAGATGCAAAGGTGGGCGGACTGATTAGACCCCTGAGATCATGATAATCAGATAATAGGAGACACTTTTAGAACACGGATTTAAATATCCAGTGCTCTAGTATCTATCCTCCTACAGAGAGAGGTGGCTTTGGTGACGGCTCCTGTGGACAGTCCATCCCAGACACAGTGGGCATCATCCTTGAAAACACTGCTCTGCACTGCAGGGCATGTGAAATTGCTCTTCTTAAGTAGCAGGAAAATAAAGGCTATTAAACTTGCTCCAGATTCTACAAAAAGCAAGCCCATGAAGCCTCTGGGGTGTTATTTCCAGTAGTACACTGAAAACGGCTTCAGAATCTTTCTTTTGTAAGTGATGATTTAATACTTTTCTTAGTATTTTATTATGGATAAATGGAAGAAGTAGCCAAATGAGTGACGTTTCCACATCATTCACTACACCATAGTATTGTTAACACTGTCTCAAAGTTCAAAACGCAACACTCATTTGATAAAGTCATCCTAAAGTTTTAGGGCAGAAAAATATTTCTTTCTCCTTCCTGACATACATGCTTTCCATGTACAATAAAGAGAAATTTATAGCTTATTTTTTTTTCCTTTCCCACCTTGGCTGCCAGGAAGCTCTCAGCTAAATTTGATGCTCAGCTCTTTAACAGAGTTTCCTGGAACAAAATCTCTCTTCTTTCTTAAAAGCTGTGATCTCCTTCTTTTAAAGCATCGATTTAATTACCTGCTGTATATGTGTTCATAAAAATAGTTTCTACTTGCTCCACATCCTTTATTTTTTTAAAGATTGATTTATTTATTTTAGAGAGAGAGAGTGGGGGGGGGCAGAGGGAAAGAGAATCCCAAGCAGACGCCCCTCTAAGCAGAGAGTCCGATGTGGAGCTCAGTCCCAGGACCCTGAGATCATGACCTGAGCCAAAGGCAAACGCTTAACCGACTGAGCTACCCAGGTGCCCCTCCACACACCCCTCTTCAAGTTTCCTGTGACTGGGTGAAGAAGAGTATCTGGTGAGGGAGAGTATCATGGCAGACACGGAGATGCACCACTCACTGATGGATGAAGAGGGCAGGAAGGGGGCGGGCGGCCTCCTGTGATAAATCCTAATGCCATCCTCTCTCCGGAGGCCACACTCCTGCGGTCAAGTGGAGACATGGCCTTGCATCCTCCACTGCCTCAGCTTCTAGGCCCACCTGAGCTGGGCCTGACCGCCATCCGGGATGCTCTGGGGACGGGGATGGGGGGGAGGTTGGCACTGCCAGGCCCTGCTGACTGGCGGACAGTTGAGTTTCAGGCTCCCCAGGCTGATGCTCAGGAGCACACAGCCCTTGGGGGAGAAGCACTGGCTTTTTTAAGGGACAGTCTCAGGGCCCCACCCAGGCCCAATTCTCGGCACGTACGAGCTCCAGGCAGCGTGCCAAGTACAGCAGCTGGAGGGACAGAAGCTACAGACCCTGCACAGGCAGTGTCCTCATCGGTCACCCACTTTTCCTAACGTGCATTCTGTGGAATGCCGATACCCAGAGAAGCTCCGTAGAATAAAATGCCTTGGTCAAAGAAGTTTAGTAGCATTGTACACTCTATCTCTTGGTTCAAATGTCACGTTAATTACATAATAAACGTTCTGATAAGTCCTGCATAAAGACACCCATTTAATTTTTGTTTTGCTCCACATTTCCTGCATATATTTGCTGGAGCACCTACTCACAACCTGCAGAGGATCGTCAAGAAATTTTATTCTAATTCTATGTGACATGTGTCGCAGTGGGAGTGAATCCAGGATGTCCCCATGGCCTGGAGGAAGAATCCCAATGGAGGACATGGATCAGAGAGTAGAGGCAAATATCACATCATGAAAAGCAGAAAGAGCCCAAATGTCCTCCCAAATAAATCCATATTCTAGTCCCCAGAACCTGCTCATAGGTTAGCTGATATGGCCACAGGGGCTTCGCAGATATGATCGAGTTAAGGATCCTGTGATGGGGAGGTTATCCTGGATTATTTGGGTGGGCTCAGTGTTGTTATGAGGATCCCTGTAAGAGGGAGGCAGGAGGTCAGAGTCGGAGAAGATGTGTTAGAAACAGAGAATGGAGGGGATGCACTTTAAAGATGGAGGAGGGGTCATGAGCCAAGGAATGGGGGTGCCTCTGGAAGCCAGAGACCTTGTAACACCTCGGTTTTAGCCCAGTGAGACCTCTTTTGGAGTTCTGACCTCCAGAACTGTAAGATAATAAATTGTTTTTTTTTTTTTTAAAGGAATTGCTGAAAAATCTTGCTTCAGATAAGGCGTCACCCAGCAGCTCAAACTAAATCACTAAGTAAGTACCAAATTTCTTTCACGTATTCCTGTATCATTTTAAGCCACTAGGTTTGTGGTAATTTGTTAGAACAGCCAAAGAAAACTAACACAGAGCCATTTTAATTAGACAGAGGTAGCTCCCCCCCAACTCCCACCACTCGCTTTCGGTGTGACATGGGAAAATCATCTGATCTCTCAGGCCTTAGAGTGCTCCTCTTGCCAGGTGGGGCTGACCTCAGCCCACCTATGTCTCTGGTCATTATGACAGCTCCTCAGGGCACGGATGCAGAGCAGTAGCCCAGAGCCTGGCTCACTGTGGATGCAACACCCATAATGTCCCCTTGCATGGACGAGTGACGCCAGCATCATGCAAAATCTAAAAAGGGCAAATTTGGGGTGTGTCTGCCCAGTGCTGTCTGAGGTCTAGGAGGAAGGGCTGGAAGGGACAGGGACCACAAACTCCAACTGAGTAGCCACAAACCCAAGGTTTAAGCTCTAGAACCAGGCTGCTAGGGCTGGAGCCCTTGCTATGCCATGTCCTGGCTGGGCGACCGTGGCTGAATTGCTCAGCCTCTCTGTGCCCTAATAACGCCTGGCCTGTAGGCTGTGGCTTGCAGACCAGGTAATGGGCATACACCTGGAGAGGTGCCCCGCCCTGGAAGGTGCTCACTGAGTGTCCCACGTCGGTTGGGAAGCCCACTGGGGTGGGGCCCATGGGCTTCGCTAAAGGTCGGTCTGGCTTCTAGGCAAGGGCCTTCCTGGGGGCTGCCTCTCTGGGTGCACCAGATTGCAGGACAGGACTATCCTGGCAGCTAATTCTGCCTGAGTGTTCATGGCTGCCTGGAACTCGACTGCAAGAGATCCAAGAGATCCAGGTTGTCCCCCCTGCCCAGTGAGGAAGGGTGTGGATGCTGGCTCAGGGCAGAATGTGGCAGAGCGGGGAGGTGGCTCACATGCCACATGTCAGCTGTACCCAGGTGGACAACACAGGCCTCGACCTCCACCGGGTGGGCCTGGGCGCCTGCTCCTGGCCAGAGCCTGGATGGCCTCAGGGATTTGGAAGTGGGCTGGTGTGCCGGTTAGGGACATGAGTGCAGTCCTGTAGAGCTCCGAGCTCCTTTCCTTCATGATCGCCAAGGGCTGAGCCCCAACACTCTGCCAGCCCAGTTTCACACTGGCGGTACGAAATGAAGAAATGAAGACGAGCAGGTGCTCTTGGCTTGGTCTGACTCACATATCTGAAGTTTCCAGATCAGTGGAGCGGTGTCTGAGGTTCTGCCTGTGCCTGGCCAACTCAGAGAAAAGAGCTGGAAGCGGACTGCAGCCCACATCGGGCCCTCAAATACCCACCAGCGCCACGCCCCGAGCAAAATGTGGAGAGGTGTGCGGCAGAGAGGAAAGGTGGAGGTGGGCGGTGGGTGGTGGGGACAGATGATGGGGCTCTGTCTGGCATCTGCTGCCCACTAGCCTGGCGCCTGGGCCCGTCTTGAGTGCCTCACACACCTCTGCTTCCTCCGGTTCCAGACCATCTGGCGCAGTAACGCCCGCCTGGTCTGCGTGCACCTGTGACCAGGCAGGTACTGCCGTGGCAGGGTGGTTAAGGGCCCCGGCTCTGGGGCCACACTGCCTGGGGCTCAGATCCTCGCTTCTCTCCTTGTCACCTAGTCTGATGCCACGTGAGGTTCTTGATGTTTCTGTGCCTCAGTTTCCTTATCTGTAAGATGGACAGAGCAGCATCGGGGCTGTCTGCGGTGGTAAATGTCAGCACACACGAGGTCCTCGGACACAACTGCTCTTAACGGGCGACGAGCACTGGAGGTCCGTGAACTGTTCCAGGAGGCACTTGCTATACCCCTCACCCCTTCCTTCTTCTCTTTTTTCTTCCTTTTTAGGCTGACAAATGGTACAAAATGCTATAACCTTCCATTGTGGG